CCTGTAAATCCGCTCACTCCAAAACCTTGCCTGGATGCCACTTCCTACAGATTCTGCTAATGAGAATATTAAGACCTAGCAGCTGGATCTGGATCACTTTTCCTCCCAAAAATAAGGATGATCTGACAGTGTGTGTGCCCACATATAGAAGTGGGCAGAGGGCAACAGATACGGCAGGCAGAACGTGTGAGCAGTAACAACTAGGGGAGCTCAGAAAGTCCCAGAAAGCTGCTAAGTAGACTGCTGTTCCTGACTGTGGCTTTACCAGCCGGCTGAACAGATTGCTGGTGCATGAGAGCAGCATGCAGCAATGGGGAAGGGAGCAAAAAGGCACCGTGTGGTGGTGGATGCTGCGGAGTCAGGTGTAAGATCTGGTTGATTTATTTCATGTTTATGTATTCGATGTTAAGCTTCTAATCAATGCTATAGAAAACGGAAAAAATGGATTCCTGCCTAACCAGCTTGTCATTCACATAGCTGGACAGCACAATAACAAGTGATTTTTTGAAATATTTTTCATAACATATCCCTCCAACAAATAATTCTGAGACGGGAACAGTAGAAATAAGGTAAAAGTGTGGACAAGCCATTTTAGGACAGAATAGTTTTGAAGCCTTTCATTCCCCTCCATGCACTAATAATGGGCAAAGGCTGGAACAAAAGGGTTAAATGCAAGTTGTGCTCAGATAAACAAATCAATGGGAGATAAAGCAGTTGCCATGCCAGCTGACACCAAAAGCAGCCAGCACGGAGTTGGCACGTAGGAGACGATCTAAAAGGCTGCACAGAGTGCCGAGGCTCATCATACACAGGCTGTTTCTTGGCTTTAGCTTTGCCAGTCCTGCTCACTTTAAAGCAGAAGCAACAATTGCTTGCATTAAATTTCTCATGCTACGGAAGATAGTAAGGAGGTATTTGTTCTTTTTAGGCTCAGCAAATAAAATCTGAGAAAGAAATGTAATACACATGCAAGAAATGGTCATGAAAGAATTGGGTCTTTGCTACTAACTCTTTCTAGATCGATCCTTTGGCAAAGTCCTTTGAATTTAATTTTAGTTTCAATTCTTCATGTAGAAAATAGAAATACACAGTATTTTCTCTATGATTTCTCTGTTCAGTCTTTGGAAATGAAGTTCATCTGTCTGGTAGATCTTCTTTAAAGCCTCTAAGTAGTACCGCAAATAACACCTAATTAATAATGACAGTTAAAGTACTAATGGAAGATTTGCTTTACTTCTCAAATGACACTTTCCTATTCAAGCTGGTCAAATAGTGAATAACACTATCTGTCAATACACTGGACAAACCATCCTTTGTCAAGAATAACATTAGCTTCCTCAGGAGTTTAGTGACTAATGCAGACAGTTATTGATTCAAAATTGGTGTTCTAAGATATTGTTTAATAGTTGCTGTTGGCACCATTTTTCTGTAGTTTGGGCTGTGCTGTTATTTAAATACACGTGAGGAGCACTGATGTAAATCATTAATATAACCCTTAAGTTAAAATATTGATATCTAGGTTTCTAGTCAAAATGCAGGTAAAAAGGTGTTTTATTTATTCTCCCGTTCCGTGGGAATAATGTAATTCATCTAGCCTGTTTTATAATCATCTCAGTGGGCTTCCTTTGCTTCATCACTCAAGCCTAATGCACCAGTTTCTCGTTGTCTATGTCCCAAGAACAGAGCAACAAGAGGATGTATGTGAGTGCCAACACAGCAAGGTGCCTGCAGTTTTCCCCATTACATTGCTGACACCAGAGCAATTTGCTGAGGTCTCTCTAGAGTCAGAATGGAACAAACAAATAAACAAATGACAACCCCAAATTAAAAACAAAACAAAGCCAAAACAAAACAAACAAACAAAAACAGGTAGCATTGAAAAATTAAAGGAGCTGCTCTATGTACAGATTTCAATACAACCCCAGACTACCAAACTCAAATGCAAGTTAACATCACCATGTATGTTGACACCTTAAATGTTAAGCTCGGAAATAATCCAAACAGACTCCTTCACACTCTCATACCTATGAGTAACCATACCCATTGGCACAGTTATATGTCACATGAACAGACATATTCTGGTGCTGGATGCATAAATATTCAGTATCAGAAAGAAATGCAGCGGTAGCACATAGGAAATTAAAGCCCCATGTATGTTCCCTCACTGTGGTTTTATAAGTGTATCCGTGTATTTCCTGCAGTGCTTAGTGACACAGTTTAACGGTGGACTTGGTAATGCTAGGTTAAAGGTTGGACCAGATGATCTTAGAGGTCTTTTCCAACCTAAACAATTCTGTGATTGTATGATTCTATATACACAATTTTATATGCCTATGTTATCTTAACACTCATTAGGTAAACTTTGACTTTCCATTATAACTCAGGCCATAATGTTCAGTGTAAATCTAATTGACTTTCTAGTAGCTTAACTTATTAGTGCGAATTAGTTTGATGGATCAAGCCTTAAAAGCCTGTATAGTAAAAGGTTGCACTGGAATGTTCTTCAGTACATTAACAAGGACTCAGCTGTAGACAAATATGTTAATAAAAGGCAATCTTGCTCCTACAGCAATCAGAAAATGAATACTGTTGAAAATGTGAATCCTTTTATAGTGTCCAAACACAGTTAAAGTGCAAAAACAATCTGGCTATTAAAAAAATAATAATAATAATATAAAAAGGCTCTTCATTTTGCAAAGCTACATTAATATAATGTAATGTTCACATTGATGTCATGAAATTCAAAATGATCTAAAATAGGATATTTTAACATCACTGTTCCAACTACCTCCCATTTTAAGAGTGAAAAAACAGCAGATTTTATTTTCTCCTTTCTAGATTACAGGAGAAAAAAAATGTACATTAAAAATATCATTTACATATCAAAAAATGTTTTGTGTGTGTTTTATTATTGTTGTTATTATTATTTTTTTATTTTTTATCTACCAGTGTAACATGCCAAGATGCCAGGAATACCATGTTTCAACCTACTTAAGAATGTCTTGGTCTCCCTCCAACAAAAATTCTGTAGTTTGTAATATTGCATTTTAGGATTTAAGCCACACTACAAATGGTAACTAAAACCAGATTTTTTGTGAGTCAAAGAGCTTGGAGTTTTTTGCATCTTTTTCTTATTCTTCTGTTATTGGTCATTGTATGATATGGAATTTTAAGTGAGATGACCTCCTATAAAGAACTTTAATGACCTATTGGCTTGAGTGGAATTAGGAGATGGACTTTATAAGACAGTGATACACAAAGAGTGGCTATTTTTTTTTAATTTTTTGATGAGGCAAAATTTCCCACATGTTATACTAAAGCTGATGATTTAAATTTATAGTTTAGAAAATTCATATTTTATCTATATCTGAGCTGATCACTGTTAATAAACCTGTTTTTTGGTAGGCTCAGGAGGGCCACAGGTCTGTCCAAAATATTCTGCAGAGGCATCTCTGTTATTCTGCCAAAAATCTGGAGCAGAGCTGTAGTGCTTCTGCAACATCTGGTGCTTTAATCTGCTGCAGCAGGTTGAATGATCTCCACTGAAAAATGTTTAGAATACTGGTGATTTTATCTTCAGTATAAATAGACCTATGTAGAACTTGAAACATCCAAGAAAGCTCATACATGGAATTTGGAAAGTGGTCAGAATTGGGCAGAGAAGCCAAAAGACTGAGGGTATTCTTATCATGGCATTGAGGATTAACTCTTCAGAGTAACTAGCTAGTTGAATACGTAGGTTTGTTGAAGATTGATGCTGATTACATCCATCAAAGATAGTGCAGCCTACCTGAAAGAGAGGATGTCAAAAAAGAGTGATGGTTCTTTAGCAAATGTTTCGGCTTTGTTTCCTAGACTTCCATCATCATCTTTAAACTAAACCATTTTATTTCCAGTTTGAAGATCGAAAAGTACATCTGACTAAAAAGACGGAGAGAAATCAATGAATTTCAAATAACTACATGATAACAGTTCTGAAAAAGTATAAAATCTAAAATACATTTTAGGCTGTACTGAAAAGACACCCTTTACTAGTTCGTTTCCTTAGATGCTGTTTTCTCCTCTTCCCATAGGATCAAAACCAATCCTTGTGTAGAACTTAACTTTTTAATATAAAACCTTACACAAATAGATGATGGGTGTTTTCAATCCCTAGTTAAGAGATGGCTGCATGTCCAGAGTTAAAGAATAACCAGAAGCCTTGCAGCTGTTCCAGGGAATACAGAGCTAAGCTTAATTTATACATTTAACCTGATGGGACAGTCATTGAAACATTGGCAAGTTTTTTTCTCTGGTCCTATTTGATCAATGGGCTGGTGGCAAAGCTACTCCAAACAACTCCTCCATGTCTCACTGCATGTGATGCAGCAGCACCACGCAGTGGCTTAAGGCAGCTCCTCTATATGCATCCTCCAACATCCATCCCCAGCCAAAATCCACTGAGGATTCAGGAAAGTCTCATTTCAGTGCAGCTGGGGTTAAGTAAATAGCAGGCTGAATGGGAGGTTTGTTTGAGATAATTCAAGCTTTTTATGACTTAAAAAAAATAAAGAAAAAGGAAGTTTTTAATGCAAACCCAAACTTTTAAGGTTTCCTATTCTAATGTTTGTATTTCTAATAAACAAATCAGCATGAATTTTGGCACAATACCTTGGAAATGTGTGGCCTCTTTTTATTTCAGCCCATTAAAATAAATTAAAATAAATTATGATTATGATGATAATAATAAAAACAATAATAATCCCTTCTCTCTTTCTCATATATTTCCTAGAGTTCAGTGAAGCTCCATGATAAACAAAGATTTAACAGCACATTGCAATAGACCATCATCTGAAAAACTCTTTCCATCTATAAACATTCCTTACTTAACTTGAAAATAATAATAATAATAATTCTCTTGCAGTTCCTCCACGAGCTCTCCTATTTCTATTCATTTTATGGAAAACAAACTATTATCAAGATCAAAGTAATTTATTTTTTTTTTCTTCTTCTAATTTCAGGTTGGGAAGTAGATAACTTGGGCCAAGCTCATACAGGTAAGAACCAGTTACGCTGACTACCTACCACATAGTTCTTTTCTCAAAAATTTTCTGTAATGCAAATGATGGTGTCAGATTACATAAAAGTTATTTTGTGTGCCAATTATTACAATAATGAATACATATAATATTCAGACAAAAACTGAAAATAAAAAATATGATCTGTTTCTAGAATTCAGTGTGGTCTATCCTAGAAACAGAAACTTGTTTTCGTTAAAGCCAATTAATTTTCATTGCTTGCGACTGATGAATGGAAATCATTTTTCATGAATTTTTTAAAGACTGCCCTTACTTAAATATCTATAGATTTCTAAAGCTACAATGCTTAGATTTTATATTTTTAAAGTAAAACTGGTCCTAGTTTGATGGTATTCCTTTTCATCGATTTGCTTGCTGTTTGCGGTAGCAGTTTTGTAATTTTATTGCTTCAACCTTGATTTAAACTTACAAGTAAAACTATGTTTACTTCCAGAAAAGACAGAATCAAGAATTTATTGCCTTTGGGCCTGATCCAAACAAATAAAATCAATTTGATTCTATTCACTGACTTCCACTGAGACTAGTTTTGGTCCTAATAGAAAATGCAATCAAAACAATTTCATACCAGATTTCCACTTTTACAGGTGATTATGACCTGCTGGAAAGTACGGCCCAGTCTCCCCTAGGTAAGAAACAGATCCATGGAATTTTTCTCCTTTATTTATTTTATTTTAATTCTCTTAAAAAGGAAGTGCCAGCTTTTTCTTCTGACACTTAAATATTATTTTTTAATCAGTTCTAATTATGGTGACACAATTTCTGCTGCCTGAATTTTAACAGTTTTATGAGAATTTATTCAAGCAGTCTTGCAGTCTAGCAGGTAGGTTCTTAAAATTATATCTACCTGCTTAACAGCAATTACTAAACAGCATAAAGGAAGCTCAAAACCATGATTCAGTGGTTATTTTCTATGAAAAACTGGGGATGAACATGAAGGAATAATTGACTAAAATTTGCCAAGCAGTGCAATGTTCTTAAATGAATGTTGTGATTAAATTGATATATTCTGCTACACTGGTGACAAACAGATTCTCTAAAAATAAAGTCACTGTTAGTGTTATGAGCTACTTGACTAAATTGCTCTAAGAATAAAAAGCTTCATAACCTCAGCAAAGCAAATAAACAACAACAACAGAAACTTTGACATTTCTGTCAATTCTCACAATAGCTTAAATTCAGAAAAAAAATAGTACTTTGAAAAATGATTTATTTATTTTTATTATTATTATTTTTTAATGTTAGAGAGAAATTACTGGTACTTAAAAATAGCAACGAGGGAGCCATCCCACCTGAGGCAGACTTGGTAACAAAGAGAGTGTCAAGAGACACTTTCCTCTTCTACATTACCCTCTTGATTCCCAAGGCAGCTTTAAGTCTTTTAACAGTGCCAGAGAGAGACACTTAGGACCTAGTCCTTAAATGAGATTAACCAAACAGGGTAAACTGAGAGAAAAAGAGAAAGAGGTTTTCTCTAAGCCAGTTTTAAAACTCCTTGCAAACATGTGTTTTAAATCAAGGTCATAAACTGTGATTGGCACAGATAAAAAACAAAGGAAAGTGAGAAGATCTGAAACAGGTTTGTTCTCAGGGAAATTACCAAGTGAAGCCACAATGGGCAATTGTTGTCAAGACAACAACAAGGAAGAGATTCCTGCTGAATCATTCCTTTGTTTTCCTACAGACACTTCTTAAAGGGTCACTGTCAGAACAAAGCCTAGGCTTGAAGATGTATGTGCTATATGACTGTAGGGGAGTGTCCAGCAGCCTCACCAGAAACGTATGATGATTATTGTAAATGCCCGACAGTATTCTGCCTGGCTTCCAGCAGCTGTTCCAAAAAAAAATAATAATAAATAAATAAAAAGTTATTAACACCATGTTTTCTTGACAGTCCAATGCAGATGCCTCAAATATAGAACATCTCAAATAGCAAAATGTGCCTATATTTAAGCACAGGACTGATACTTTACTCTGAAGTGCAAATGCCTATGTCAAGGATGTATTCCCAACATGCCTTTAAGAGTCAATGGAGAGGTATGGACATTTAGCTGAGCCCTGTTTTTCCTATCTGCTTTGGAAAGAGTCCTTGATGCTCTGGAAACACTGACTATACTTGTTAGATCTCTATTGCTCTTTGGTGACCAGTTGTAAAAGTAGGTGCCTAGTGTAGAACTGTGTTATTAAAGATACAATGGTATCTATTACAGGTTAAAGATGTCATTAAAGCTTTCTGTGTATACTCAAACAAACAGTACTCCCAATGGTACCATGGAGTTTTCCTTGGTCATGTACCGGGGGATGCAGGATACATTCTGGGGTTTGCTTCAATAGTGTCACATTCCCAATTGTACCTGGTATGTTTGACATAGGGGACATCAGCAGAAATTGCACTGAAGATGGCTGGTCTGAACCTTTTCCTCATTATTATGATGCCTGCGGCTTTGATGAAAATGAAACAGAGTCTGATAATCAGGTGGGAATTAATCTTACAATTAAAAACAAATGGGGAGAGGAGGGAGGGTGGAGCTAGCTGCTTTTTGTCCAGCTTCTGGTCATGTTCTAATTCGATGGTAATTATAATGAAAAAATCACAAATTTAAGGATGTTAATACATGAGACTGAAGTTCTTCTTAGCTCAGTGGTGAGTATTTCCAGAATGTGAATGTTTACTCTTGATGCAGCTTGTAACTTTAAGAAGCATAAGTTAGTCCCCATTTCATTTCCTATAGACTAAAGTCTCCTTTAGCCAACGAGTTTTTTTCTACAGGCACGTGCAGAATGGTCACAAAAATATAGACAGCTTCTGCTAGTTCACTGACAAATAAGATTCACGCTATGCAAACCTAACGGCATGCCAAATATAAAGCAGTTATCTAATACATAGTGAGATCTCAGGGGAAACAAGTGGAAAAAACAAGTGGTCTGTTCAAGAAACAAATCTTGCCTATGGTTCCTTCTGCACACTGACAGGGTAAGGAAGAGGTGAATATAGATAAACCATTTAACCATGTGATATTTTTCTTCCAAGGATTACTACTATCTATCTGTGAAGGCTCTATACACGGTTGGATACAGCACTTCTCTTGTTTCCCTCACCACTGCCATGGTTATCCTGTGTCGTTTCAGGTGAGTCAGGATGTGAGCAGTTTGCTACTGAGTCACTGGAGAAAACAGACTGGCTCTCATAGGCCCAAAACAACATTTAAGCTTTTATCTCCCCAGCTGCATAATAAGTGGGGAGAAAAGCCTTTAGCTGAGTTGTTCCCCCAGGTTGGAATCTCTCCAGTAGTCATATTTCAGTAAACTGCAGATATAATTGCAGAAACTCTCTGCATTGGATTGAGTCTATTTTATGTTAATTAGTGTGGTTTTGCAGGACAATCCTCCTGTCGGTTGGTTTTAGGGTCAGTATTATTTACACTCCTGCTTTTCAGAATTTCAGACATTGTTATTCTTAGTACCAAGGTACTAGAATGTATGATTTCTACAAAAAGCCTTTTTTTTTTTTTTTTTTCCCCTTCTCTTCTTTTCCTCTTTCTTATTCCTTCATCTTTAGGAAGCTTCACTGCACTCGAAATTTTATCCACATGAATCTCTTTGTTTCATTCATCCTACGTGCGATATCTGTATTCATTAAAGATGGGGTTCTTTATGCTGAACAAGACGGCAATCATTGTTTCATCTCAACTGTAAGTAAAACGAAAGCCCTTTCCATTTTTTTCTTCTTTATTTTTTATTTATTTATTTTTAATAACAAAAAGTGTGAGGCAGGCATCAGCCTGTTGGGTATCAGAGACTGAGGAGACTTTGGGAGAGAGGGTAATTGCTGGTACACTTCCCTGCCAGTTCACAATAAAAGTATGAGTGGTATGGTTCTGTGATGTCTGCAGTGCTTACTGGTCTGTGCTTTAAGAGAAACTTAAAAGGTTATTTCATTTTCTGACTTCAATCAAGTTGTTTCTCTCATTCATGGATCTGCATAGCGACAGGTGCAATGAGAATAGAGATAAGCAATTTTCTTCATCTGGGGTCTGGATTTTTCTCCAGGGCCTTACTTGCTATGGATGTTGGGCAGAGTCATGTTAAAGAGAGTGAACACTCAGGCACAAGAAAATGGTACTGATAGTCATTCTCAAAAAAAAAAAAACAAAACACTAATATTCAATTTTTTTTTTTTAATGTATTTGTCTCTGAAGAGGAGCTGTTCATAGTGTGGTTTCATGGAAAGCAGTCTATTTCACTATCGTACTTACATATACTTTGCATCTAATATATACATTGTTAATACTATCTTATATTTAAGGGTAATATTTGATCTGACAAATCAGCTCACTTTGTGTAATTGGCAGAATTATAGTGAGTTCTCTTTTATCTATCCAGTTATGAGATAAGTTCCCCATGAGTCACTTCTACAAGTGCATCTATGTTATTTCATAGACTTTTCTTCATCATTTAAAATAGATTCTGCTTTATATTTTTCTCCTTAAAAATCTGAAGCCATATTAGATCTGTAGTTTGTTCATATCACTCTTCCAACAATGGCATCTGTTTCTTTGTTTTAATACACTTGAAGCATAAAACATCTTGGAACCAGTGATCTAGTGGCCTGAGATCAGCTGGCATAAACTGGTAGAGCTTCCACATTAGCAACTCAAGTTTTGTTGGTTTAAACATATTGCTTATCCAAGAGGATGGAACACAATTGTGAACCGTCAAAACTGTCAACCTTCCATTGCCCCAGGCAGGAGCTCCCAGTTTATACTGTGATTCTGCTGTGATGTGTTAAAAAGTCACTTCAGTAGGATTAACGAGGTCTCACTGGGATGCAGCACTGTTAAGACAAGCGTGTCCTGCTATCACAGAGTTATGGCAGAGCTCAGTTGCCACTTAAAGCTTTCAGAATGTTGTTTTTTTGTTTGTTTGTTTTTGGTTGGTTTGTTTCCTGTTCTTTTGCCCATTGTTTTCGTTTGTTTGTTTTGTTTTCCCCAATAAATGAATGAAAGTATCTATCATTTTGTACAGTAAATCACTCAGTTTTCTTTACACTTCTGCTCACTTTCATTTTCAGTCCCTGAGTGACAACACCTACAAATGGCCAGGAAGTACAATTCTCAAGTGCGCACAGGAGGGTGCATCTTTTCCAAGCCCACTCTCAGGGCTTCCAACAATCATCCTGCCATTTCACATCCTTCCTTAGGTTTCTCAAAGCACAACTGGATTCTTTTCTTGTCTGCACTTAATACTTGGACGGGGGCTTAAATCTAGCAATTAAGGTCCATTGCTGATGTGAACTCCCACTAAGGCAATAGCTTCTCAAGCTGTCTGCAGGCGCTCATCAGCCACCTCCCACTGATAAAATTGGTTACCTGCCCTTTACAGCTTTGCTCTCTAAGTGGCCCTTCACATTACTCTCATGATTTTAAAACTTTACTATTAAAAGTGTATAATACTAATCCCAACTGTGTTCCTTTCCACTAACAGGTTTGGAGTGGTTGAAAACATTTTCTCTGTCTGCTAATCTCCAGCAAAACAACATGGATATAACTTTGTTTTTGCTTGATTCTCTGCAGGTGGAATGCAAAGCGGTGATGGTGTTTTTTCACTACTGTGTCATGTCCAACTATTTCTGGCTTTTCATTGAGGGATTGTACCTTTTCACTTTGTTGGTAGAAACCTTTTTCCCAGAGAGGAGATATTTCTACTGGTACACTATTATTGGCTGGGGTACGTGACATTTCTTATGTAAAATATGTGTCAGTGTGCAGAAGAGCTTTCTTCTCTGTCCTGAAAGGTTCACTGCAGGCACAGGAATGAACCATCTAGTATTTCATACACAGATTCAAGTATTTCCATCCACAGATTCATACACAGTTTCATATCACGTCAGTTTTAGTCTTTATTTAGAAGTGCCACTGCAGACCAAACTTGTTATTCTTCTTCAGATAGACTTGAACTGGAATCATATCTCAGTATGATCGTGCAGAGTTGTGTTCCACAATTCAAAATTGTCTTCTACGAGATATTATCTAAGTACCATGTTATTCAACATAATCAAATCTTCAGTGTTTAGTCTAGCCCATTCTCTAAGACCTCCTTTGTGTCTTTTTCCCAGCTAATAAATAAACTGAAAACATGTTAAAGGGGTACCCACAAATGCTCATCATACCTGAGTGAGAAATGGGAACTTACAAAGTTGAGAAGAAATAAGATTTGTTTCAGAAGGCCAGTTGTAAGATGATAAGCAGTGTAATTATTTTTCATGATGGCCTTCTGGAGATAAATTAATTCCTGTAACATATTAATTCAAGCTATACTTTGGTGACATTTTTGTGCAGAAGTCAGAAGGTGGATGCAGAACACCTTAATTTTAAATGTGCTCTAAGAAGTTTAAACTAAATATTTGCACTTAAACAACCTTGCCTCTGAAATTACATGGAAAAAAAACAACATATATTCATGCACAAAAACTACATACAACTCACATTCCTTAAACTGTTCTTCTTTGAAAACAAATCCCCAAATAACATGAACTGTCAGGTAATCTGTAGCTTTTTTACTTTTTTGCTGTGGTGATGGTGGTTGTTTTTCTTGTTTTGTTGTTGGTGGGGGAGGATTGTTTTTGTTTTTTTTTGTGGTGGTGTTTTTTTTTTTTTTACTCCTGAGGCAGCTGCATATACATAAAATTTTCAGTTCCTGGCAAAGACTCCCTACAATGGAAGCAAAGAGACAGAGAAGAAAGAAGAGAAAATGTGATCAGAAATAGCATATCAAGGCTGGGAAACTATTGAAAAAGGGTGTTCAAAGTTCCCTTTGTACCATCCATAGATCTATAATTACACTATTGATGAAATATAAGGCTGTTATAGAGAACTTGGGGATGAATATATGAAAATGTGATAGCTATAAAAGAAAACATGTAAATTTTTGCAAATCAAACACTAATCTGTGGTTGAGTTCCTTTAACAGAGTTTGCACAAATTTCACATCCGTATGTTCATCTGAATGCGAGAATATTGCGACACACAGCATATTAACTGACAAAAAAGTCAGCATCTGTAAAGAAAGAACTATCCAGATGGGCTTATTTTGTAACATAGCCTCAGAATTTTTACTCCTGAGTTGAATACTCAAAATAAATACTCTAAATAAGATCTAGCTATTTATGGATGCCACTTCATATTCAATGCCATCCATTAATAATAATAAGAGGATCTCAAAATGTGGGATGTTGGATTTTTTTTTACTTTTTTTTACTTTTTTTTTTTTTTTTTTTAAGTGCAATATTTTCTCAGTTCCTGCTTATTTTAATTTGGATAATGGTTTCCCAGGCACAGTAAGAGTGATTGGCACTTTGTGAGAATAGAAGCTCTTCCAGACTCTGGATTCAGGTTTTCAACTCATGTCAGGCAAAAGTGGTCCCCTCAGCTCAGAGCTGATGGGAAGAGGGTTGCATTGAAGCAGCAGTAGGCAACAGCTCAGCATTTTACAGCAGCTGGATGTTTATCTGTTTCTTGAAAAGTGCTGAGCCCATCAGTGCCCACATGTGATTAACGAGAACTACAGATGGCTGAGTCAATCCAATTTTGTCCTCTTAAATATTCAAGGTGCTAGTAGGCTCACTGGATAGGCTAAGATCTCTCCTAATGTCTGTGCCTTATTGAGGGAAGAAATACAGTCAGCAAGAACAGCTCTTTTCTGCAGCCCTTGGGGTTTTTGTTTTCTGATGTTACTCAGAAGATGAAAAGAATGTGATGAAGCTATATATATCTTTTGTGTAAAGAAAAGTGAGTATGTACGTATATATATTCATACAGCAGATGGTTCAAAATTCCAAGCTGATCCATTTTTTTTTTTTAATTATTTTTTTTAAACTATATTTTTATGACACATTGAGTGTCAGGTGCCTTCCTGACCATGTTTCAGACATGGAACCTCATTTGTAACAACAAAATTTCTATAGTCAAATAAGTACAAACTGGATAGCATGTCAGAGCTGTGACTAATATTTAAAGACTTTTTAATTATTATTATGCATCTCAGTGCACAAAGATCTTAATGTTTTCTAGGTATTCTCATGTGAGAAAAGCAGACTCCAATTTAAATTAAACATGCACGATTTCTTCTCTCCAAAGACATCTTATTTCTTTTTGTCATTTTCTATTCAATTTTTTTTTTTTTTTAAAAAGGAGGGCTTCATCAGGTATAACAAGGATATTTTTATTTCTAATATTGGGAATATGAAATTTGACAGAGACTCGCTGATGTAGATTCAACTGAATGACTAATTAACGTGACATAAATGCAGCCTTGAAAAATGTATAAAATATAATTGTTCTTGTCAATTTATGACAGTCTTATTCAGCTACTGCAAGCTGAGGTTATCAAGATACTTGTTTTGTTTGCTTTTTAACACTTTATCTTTCCAGTGGTGCCTGAACAAAAGTAGGCAGTTTTCTAGTCAAGGATATTATTTACCATAAAAAGTAGAAACAACCATAGTTTTCTTGCAAGAATGAGTTAGTTTTTTTTTTTTTTTTAATATATATATTTCCACTGAAAAAAATACCCTTTTAGTTTTTTCAGAAAGGAAAACAAATCCAGATTTCTGGATTTTTACTGTTTTGTTTTAATTTGTATTTTACACGCATTTTTTAAACATTAAAGAAATCTCTGAAATAGAAATGAAACCCTCTCATTCCCAAGTTTTTGTTTGTATCTGTGTTTGTTTATTTGGTTTTAGATTATTTTTTTCTCATGAAAGAAATGAAATATTCCCGTGAATAATGCAAAACTGTCCTCTACTGATGTGCTTTGTTTGAATAAATAAAGCAAAAATCACTTATTTATAAAATAACAGATAAAATGCAATATATTCAACTTATTTACAGCAAAACCACATGGGAATACAAAGAATACAATAATGCCATTACAGCTTAACATCTGCCACTCTGCAATTATTGCATAATTACGGTAGCTTTAGACATGGAAGCTGATGTCACTGGTTTTATTTTATACAATGTTTTATTGTTAATGTAACAAAATACAATACAAGAACTTTGAGCAATATTGATCTGAAACAGCATCATTATTTTCTTTCATCAGTTTTACTTTTACATTCCCATCAAGCCAAACCTGTACTCTGACTGAGAAAGCTGTTTCTAGAGCTCTCAATTAATGTAATGAATTGCACTGTTTGGTTCGTGAGTGTTATCAGGAAATAAAATCTCAGTGGAGAAGTGGTCTTTGCTGAGTAGTGAATAAGTCTAGACTGATAATGATAACAACATCTTGTCTTCTGCAGGCACCCCAACAATTTGTGTCACTGTCTGGGCAGTGCTGAGACTTCACTTTGATGATACTGGGTAGGTATCACTGTGTGGAAAAACATTTCACACGCCTTTGGTATGATGACAAAGGTGAAATAGAAATCTAGTGATCAGAGGACACAATTTTTCCTTCCACTTCCAATGCTGCTTTGAATATGCAAACAGGTTAGGCCAAATGTTCAACTTAGAGTTCTCGTTCAGAGACAATGATTATGTCTGAGACAGAGAGACAATGTTTATGTCTGTATTCCACTGGTGAAATTATGGAAGGCCATGTAGACATCTGTAAATTTGCAGCTGACCCAGTGGCTCTCCATTCCTGTTCAGTTAAGCCAGCGGAGTTCAGGATATGCTTTATCTCATCTTAAAAGAGTGATCAAATGTATTGCACTTATGATACCCTGCTCCTCTCCAACTGATTATGAAGAAAGACAAAGTTGATAAGCTCAGCTGTAGAAATTATTGTGGATGTCTCTGATAAGATGAATGAAATTTGCACAAGGAGTCGCTGAGCTTCAGTTTACCAAGGTAATTATGAGTTTAGCTCCCCCTTGAGGTTTTTCCACAAATCTAGTTTGGTAGATGAGTAGGAGTGAGAAAAAGACTCTCATTTAGTCTTCTGTGTGAAAATAAAATAAAATTTAGGAAATTGAATAATTTAAGAAAGAATTCAAGAGGGTAGATACCACCCAAATAGTATCCTTTGGTGGAGAAAAACCTACAAAGATCCTGTATCCTTTGCTAAAGACCTGAAGGAAAGGATGCTTCCAGACTCCCAGAGATGGTCCTGTACATCCACATAGTCAGAAGACTGACTGGTATGACAGAGAAACAGGCATAGCTTGTAGGAATGGATATATGATTTTTTTATTTTATTTTTTCCTGACAAATATGTTTCAAAATGATTGAGTGGTAGGAAAACTGCTGGAGAATGAAGGAGTTTGAAAAAAAATTTGAAAATCCAGCAGTGGTCCTTTGAAAACCTAGATCTGAGTGAAAGATGTTACTCTGTGCCCAAATCTGATTCCCAAGGTATTTAGGGTCATATTTTAAGTTCTCCTTATATTAGGGGTACCTGGAACTAAACTAGTACAAGACTTGCCGCTCTGTCATGTTTTCTTCATTCTTGTTCTTTCTTGCTCTTTTTGGAAAGCACATAAAGCCCTTCTTCCACTGGGGAAGCCAGTGCTTTGACCCAATGTTCTATTTTGACATTAAGACAAATTAAATCATTTATTTCCATGCAAAACAAGCCAGAAACCCCTGTTGTGCCATTATTATGATTACAACAGAGGTCTTAAATGCATTAATTTCTCTTAGGAGCCCAAACAGTCCTTGTGTTTTTTGGGGAAGAGAAATATTTCAAAGAAGGAAAAGAAGAAAGAAAAAAAAAATAAGAAAGAAAGAAAAAAAAACACCTTTTCCTCTCTTTTAGTTGCAGAAGCTATTTAGCATGCAACTCATTTAGGCAGATTCTAGCTGAGCGTCTCAGTGGTTACTTTTTAAAAATCAGCAAGCATTGTTCTGGGGGTGGGGGAGAAGCCAGCATGAGCTTGAAAACATTGCGGGAATTACTGAACTAGGGAAACCACACTGACAAAGGCATGGACTAAAATACAGACTCTGAGTCTGAGTTTCCTCCTGCTTGCTCCTTATAAAACTGGCAGAGCTCCCTTGACTTCAATTCCTGATTCACATCATTGTAAGTGACAGGTTTGTGGAGATAAATGCAACTGTCTGTTTATCCAGAGCTGTGCTACTGAATTAAATGGAGTTATACCAGATGTACACCAGAGATGTAACAGAGATCAGATTTTGGCCTTTTCAAATGGAAACCACATCCCTCCCCCATCTCACTGGCTCCCTTCCCATCATCCATCCTGAAAAAGAGTTCTGTACGCTTGATCTCAACCATAGCAATGTATTTGTAATGAAATTAGGGAGCCTGTTTACGTGGTACAGCTTGTTGGCTGATACTACAAACTGTTCTGTGGTGCACTGCTTTTTTTCTTTCTAATGATACTCATCTGAGGAGATGATGCTTGTTTGTGTTTTGTTTGTTTGTTTGTTTGTTTTTTTATCACATCTATCCTATAGATGTCATGTAGACTGAATCAAAAAAGTACTTAATAAAACCCTTGTACAAGCTTGATCTGGTTCACTGTTAACATTTCAGGAAAACACATTGACAACTTAGCTTACCATATAGACTTTCTGCAGAAGCAGAAGAGTAGATCTAAGAAGAAAAGGCATTTCTAAGGGAAGATGCATCACCCCAGAGTACACATTTAAAATCCATCAGTGGAGGGAAAAAAAAAAAAAAAAAAGAGGGGGAAAAAAAAGTCTCTGAAAGCCTATTTGTCTCAGCTGGAATCTGAGATAATTAGCTGGGCTTTAAATGTTTTCAATACAGATGACTGAACAAAGAACAGGTAGATTCCATCCTCTGTAATTTCATATTTCTACCTAGACAAACTGGCATATATTAATGCCTAATTATATGGCTAGAATAATAATACTAGAATTTGACCAGATTTTTCCAGGAAAAATATGTGCTTTTGTGTAAAATTGATATCTCATCTCTAAATTTTCTTTCTTCTCCCCTGCTCTACCACATGCATACTTATTTTTGCTTTTACAGGAAGTCTAGAAAAATATTGCATTTGTAAGTTCAACTGAAATTTCTAAGCCAGATGTCGATCAGCTGCTTGCCACACCCACTTGGATGATGGAATTTTAGCTCTGCCTCCTCACTCTTAAACGTGCCTATAGCTTCTATACACAATAGGTTTTCACTTTTCCCCCAGATGCTACCAGACTACTGTTTAAGTGACATAGAAGTTGTATTAAGCTCTCATAAGATCAGCCATGTTTTACCCCTGTATGCTCTTCCAAATTGTTACTTGTCATCTGAAAAATGTACCATGACAACCACTGCTGGGACTTTTGGCTGTTGTCCCAGTGGGAGGGAAACCATCCTCCTCTGAACTGCAGGTACAAAGACATTTTTCTGTGTTTTCATGGTTTTTTTTTAGAAGGTAAGCAGGAGGGGAAGAAAGCAGACACAAATAAAATATGTTTATTAACTGACAATCAAATTTTGTAATAACTTAAATTAATGTAGTGTGGTGGTGTTGTGGCAGGGAAAAAAAAAAAAAAAAAAAAAAGTAATTTTCCATTATTATCATTCTTGTAGCTTTAAAAATAAATGTTAAAGTTTAAAACCCATATGGGTCCTGCAATTAATTTGCTCTACAAAGGAATGTCCAAATGAACCTATATGGAAAAATCTTCAGTGTAATCCTTCTGTGATCTGGAGGAAGATTTTAAGTGCTGAGGTAGAAATGCCACTTGATTTATGATCATTCACTCCTGACAGCTTAAAAAAGGAGATGACTCCAACTGTTGCCCACAACTTGAAACTTCTCAGATGAATCATTGCTCCTTGGTAGGACTGACAACTCAATGACTGGAAAATCATTCCTGTGTGTGAATATAGCTGGTCCCTGCTACATTGTTGTGTCCAAGATATGTGTCAAAATCCTCTTGTCACGGTCAGGATCCAAAATTCCTATCTGCTAACCCTGGACCTTTCTTTCCTGTTAATTTCGTACTCCTGCCTTTTTACCCCTTCTACAGAGATGTTGGCTGAAATGGGCAGTTTTACAATTGTACTTTGTGGACACAGGAACATGCATAGAAGTGTTTTCTAGAATGTCTGAACTATTTAGTAAAAGGTAGTATTGAAATCACAGTATATGTATAGGTTTGTCCTGGTTTCAGTTGAGTTGGCTAAAATCTGTAAAAGAAAGCTTTAACAGGGATAGACTAAGGAACTTTTGAAGCTCAATAAAGTAATTTAGCTACAAGACCAACATCCCACTCTCTGCCTCCATAGAAATGTTTGTAAACATTAATTTCCTTGTTGTATCTTCATCTTTTTCTTTCCTTCTCTCTCCCCACCCCATTCTTTCATTACTAACTGCAGCTGTTGGGACATGAATGACAACACGGCCTTGTGGTGGGTGATCAAGGGTCCTGTGGTTGGATCAATCATGGTAAGTAACACTTGAAGGAGGCACTTCCTCAGCACTTCTGAGGGCAAATAACTGATGGAAATTTCTTCTAATGACTTCACTACATAGTGTTCAACTTTCAACAAGGTATCTAAGCTCTCTTTAGATGATGAAGGCCTTGGGTTTTACCCGAATGGTGCACAATACCTACATATAGACAACTGAGAGTCATTTGGTCTCCAGGTTCTGCTTCAGGGTTAACAGGAGTTTTTAAACGGCTTTGAGCTCTTCAATATAGTAAATCAAACTGAGCCTTTCTGCAATATGATTAGCGGCACCTAAAAAGCAATTTGTCTTACTGCACATAGGTGTCTACATGCTAAGTTGCTCTCCATACTCCAGTGACAATATTGGCAAGGTCTCTGTTTACTATTGTGTGAATTTAGACATCAAACTCACAGGTAGATACTTAGATATAGATGTCTTTATTATGTGGTGCTTCCCCTGTTAAGTGTTTGGACAGCTCTCTCAAGTACAGTAACTTTCACACATTTTAAAGGTAATTAATCTAATAACATAAGAGTTCTCCATCTACATGTAGTTTTCACATCCAGATAGAAAATTATTCTTAAAAAAAATAGATGCTGACAACTCTTTCAAAGAGAAAAAAAAAAAAAAAAAAAAAGTAAGCAAGCAAAGAAACAAGCAAAACCTTAAATTTCATATTTTCTTCTGGCCTATAGAGTAGGTCACAGCTAAATCTGAGTTCAAAACATCAAAATAAACTGCTTTTGCTCTTCTCCAAAATTTCAATACTCTACTTGTAATGACACAATTCTCTGGGAAAATAAATAAATATTCAGGATGAGATAAAACTAAAAGTCATAAAGAACATGAATAAATATATATATTTTTTTCTTTTATCTCATCTTGGGACAGTTCAGCCAAGTGGAGGGAAAGTGATAGAACTTGGAATTTTCAGGAAATGGCAGACACTAAATATTGTCTGAAATAAATGATGGTGGAAACTTCTAAGCTGAGAAATGCTTTAGTTCAGACAATGGAAATTAAGCATGATCAGTGGACAATGACAAATGTTTAAACCTTTGTGTTTATACTTGTCTTACCTCATTTTTCTGATAAACTACATTCTTCCTTAACTTCACTGCTGCCAGGGGGATATTTTTGTCTGGAAAAAGGGGCAATATGCCTTTTATAAACTTAGCTAACGACCCTATAAAACTTTTAGAGTGCAGTTTGGAGAAGCATAATACAATGGAGCCAGCAAGTCACTGTGAAAGTCTCATCTTATATTTGAAAAAATATATCACAGTCATCACAATTTCCTCTCTTTTCCCCCCAGATAAATTTTGTGCTTTTTATTGGCATAATTGTGATACTTGTGCAGAAACTCCAGTCACCTGATATTGGAGGCAATGAATCCAGCATTTACTTGTAAGTACAAATAAAGCAGTAATCAATTTAAATTTCTAATATACACATAGGAAAAACAAAACAAAACAAAACAAAAACAAACAAACAAAAAAAAAAAACTCATCTGAGTAAATTTGACTTTAAAAAAGTCACAAGATCTATTAAAAATGGTTTGATTGATTTAGATTTTTTTGTATTATTATTTCAAAAGCCACTGAAGTACATTTTAATACTCATTTTCATCTTTAAAGCACTTAGGAAATAAAATAAAAGAAAGAAAAATATAAATGCTAGATAAAAAACAAAAAATAATAATTCTTTTTTAAAACTCAATTGTTTGTAAATTAATATACTGACCAAGCATAAATATTATTGTATTCATGAGAGAGTCTGCTGTGCTTCATAAGTTCCAGAGACGTGGTCCAAAGTTGACTGAGAGCAATGAGATTTGGTAAAAAGATTTCAGGATCTTTGGCTAAAGCTGCTTATGTTCATGATCATGTTTCTGGTAATTTTGAATTCAACCTAAGCAAAATAATTCACAACAATTTAGACTTGCTTAAAAATGCATAAGAAATCCAACTTTTAATCCGTTAGAGGTTTTAAAACTTTATCGTGCCTATTTTTATTAAAGCTTGCATCCCCTCCCCACCCACCTACCCCTCCCCTTATTTACCGAGATCATTAGAAGATTGAGGTTGGTCATTTGAGACAGTCATTTCTATTTTGAGTGCATATAACCATATAAAATATTATATAATCATTGTGAATAACTAGTGAATGTAGCAGCACTTTTGGTGCTTGCTTGGCTTTGTAGTCCAAGCACCACACACATTTGTTTTGCAGGTTTTTATGAGTTCCAGCATTTTCTAGCACTCATAAACATATATAAGACTATTTCTTTGATTAGTTTGCTAGTAAAAAAATGCAAGTTATTCAAATAAATAAAAATTAAATATGTCAGGGTAAAGTAGGAGACCTTTATTTTGTAATACTTTTTTTGTTTGGTTGTTTTTTTTAATTATCTCCCTAAAATCAGTTTCACCCAGAGTATAATGATATAATCCATTTAAAAAACAATTTTCAGGTAAAACTCTGACCCCCAGCTGCCTATTTTACTTTCCTTCTCGTCTTTATTCTTCTTTGTATTTTCATGAAGTGATAATATTTACATACTGAAAATACTGCCCTTGATGTTTGCTCTAAACTATGCCATAAACAATGAGCATAAACTCAGCCATAAACAATGTTTCAAATTCATTCTGCAGGTCAATATTTCTCTGGATTATAACTCAGGAGAAATTATAGTGCATAAATTAACTATCTCCCATGCATGGTTTGCCTACAGTTTGCATGAAGTCTTCCTTTGTATGTGCTTCTGGGAGGTCAGCCACTAAACCTTGACTGTCATTGGTACCTAAGATGTGCAGGGCTAGTTCTGATTAAGACCTGCTAAGTGCATGTTTGACATCTGCTGCACATCTCGCACATATGAAGCAAAGCATGCCACAGACTCCGAAGATTTGACTAGACTATGAAGCATCTTTGTCGTTTTTGACCAATATGGTGACTGGGTTTTACTGATATTTTTCCTATGTGTATAGTTAGCAACAAAAAACAAGAGAAAACATCATTTTTTCTGTTTCATTCGCTGCCATTATTTTTCATATTTCTTTGCAACTTTATAAATGGGTGTGTATAAATTGATCTTGCCTTTATGTATGTGTTATGAAGCGGAGTGTTGTTTATCCAAACAGATTCAACAACAGAAATGTCACACAGAAATGAAACTAATAAGTTTATGCAGATATACACCAGGCATACACGTTATTTTTGCACACATATCCTGTTAAAAGGGAGTCATTATAACAAAGGAAAAGGCTAGATCATAGTATGGTAATGTCACCATATTGAAATCTCTGCAGTGTATAGATTATGGCCCATATATAAGCATTTTTCATGTCTTATATTGCTACTTCATGCTAGTGAATGTTTAAATCTCATTTCATTATCTCTGAAATATGCAAAATACAAATCAAATATTTCCAGTACTTTCCTAGTAGACTGAAAAATCCCCAGGAAAGTGCATGCTAATAGCTATTTGTTTAAGCCTTATCTCTCCATTCTGATAGATTATTTTAAGAATCCCTTAGTTGCATTCAAACCTGTGAAGTGAAATATGTTTCCCCATTTTCATTTTGAAAACATAGATATTATTTACATGATGAAAATAGCAAACAAATTAAACTTTTTAGAAAAGTTCTTTTTCCAGCAGTATTTGGCTGAACACTGTAGAATTCAACAGAATCACAATGTTTGTAATGGAAAAACAAAACAAAACAAGCAAAAAAAAAAAAAAAAAAAAAAAAGGCAAGACAAAGTAGTTCGATTTCTCATTCAATTCCCCACCAGGCCAAACTGTTCATCCAGATCTTTATTCTACAACATAATTAAATAATTAATACATAGATCATATCAGCTACAGTTGAGGAAGTGTGCTCAGCGTGTTTATAAAGGTAATATCCCTTCTCTGGTATCAGCCTTCCACTCTTGGGAACAATATTTAAGCCAGGACTTCCATCACCATTAGCTGAGCATGGACAACCAAAGGCTCCAGAGAGCTCTTCACTGGATCCACCTCAGTGCAAAGTTGCAAAGGATCATTTAAACCTTCTGCAATTGTTTAATTCATACCATCTGACCTTACACCAGTACAGATGAAAAATGCTGACACAATCCCTTGCTTTTCCTTCAATATGAGGGTAAATACTGCCACATCATGGTGATAACAAGAAATTTAAATCACAGTTTTGTAGTGTTTGTAGTGATTATGTACCTGTTAGACTACAATGAGGCATATAAGGAAATAGTTTTTTACACCACAATCTTCGGATGTTTCAGATTCAAAATTTATGTTGAAATTTGACCTCTGACTCCAGAGAAATTGCCTGTAAATAATCTGCCATCAGATTATGATCTAATGTAGCAAAGATTATAAGCCTTTGTTTTGTCTACTATAGACCTGTGACTCGGGAACTCTGTTTAAAATAAAAAAAAAAAAAAAAAAAGACAAAAATAATAATTCATTTTTTGACATCAGAGAGGATTTATTTTCTTCTTATATATATGGTATATGTTCAGGTTTGAGAGCTTTTAATGTTTATTTTCTGTTAGGAAAATCTGCATCCAGTTCAATTTTGTAGACACAGAGGTCATGATTCTGCAAATCACTTAAGCCTGTATTTAAATTTACAAGCCTTAGGGATGTGCTTAAATTCAAAGATTAATTATATATTATTACCACATTGCATTCATTATTTAAAATTCCCACTACTGAAGTTAGCTTCAAGCTATGACAGGAACACAACAGAAGATTGCACTACTGGGGAGCTAATGCTTAATTAACATAGTGTAGCCACTAGAGATTGCAAGGCTTGCTTTTAAAAAACTAATAATTTGTATAATCTGCAGCACAATAATGAGAGCTTCACTCTCATAAAAATTTGCCTCTAAAAACCTTCCTTATGATTAATACATGTATTAGCCTTTTCCTTTAGGCTGACAAAAACTTGGAAACGTACCTAACTCCTAATGATTTTCTACAGTAGTCAAATGCTTTAGTTATTGTAAACTTCCATTTTATCAACTTGTATGTTCAATCATTCATTACTAGTCTCATGGCTAACTGATCTTTCATCATGCATTTAGTTCCCCTCAAAGCTGTTTGCATGCTGCTTACTTCATTTCAGACCAAATTGCTGAAAATGTGTCAGTTGCGAGAGAATAACTCTGTGCTTATTTCACTGGTATTTTTTTTTAGATAGAAACTCCTTCTTATGTTTGAAATGACTGGGGGTTAGATTCATCAAAAATATCTAAGCAGCTGAGGTAGGACTTAAAAAAAAAAAAAAAAAGAAAAGAAAAGAAAAGCTACGCTTTTTAATTTTGATTTTGATTTTAGGATTCCTTTTTATTTATTTTTCCCTAAGAATTTAAAGCAGCTTTCATACTTTCTCTCAGTAGTCAGATTTGTTTGTTTGTTTGTTTGTTTGTTTTGTTTGGTTTTGTTTTTTAACTTTTAAGTGTTAAGAGGGAGTAGCCTAAGTCGTCTAAGAGGACATATCTTCACTGCTTGGACCATGTTCTGGTTTCAGTTAATCTGAAATCATTAATTCAGTTAATGTCAGTCCTGAATAATTCCAGCAAATTAAGTATCAAAAGAAAACAAGCCCGGTAATGCACATGCAATAGATTTTTTTTTTCCTGAGTGAGAAGTTCTGAGATCCTTGGGTGCTAGTAAGTCAAAAAGTGACACAGATTGTATTCCTGGTATAATTAAGACAGGTATCTGCATCTAAATATGTCTCTGGCCCGAGCTGGTAAATGAATTCCATAAAGAATTTTAGTTTATTGTGATTATGATTATGACATACTTAATCCTATAACACAAATGTGTTTGTATCTGTGTATTCAATCCAGGTAGATCTTGCTTATTGTGCTTCCAAGTAGAAGACACAGCCTGATTCTTACCAATATCCACTTGTGTAGTTTGCAAGTATTTTGAAGAGGTAGTAGTAAATTATTCAGGGACACTGTTACATCATATGCTGAAAGTGAAGTAGCAGCACATCAGAAGTTCATAAATACAATATTAACATGCACTGGAAACACACCTAAGGACTAGAAACACCTATTCACAACCCTACTGAAGCTGGCTCAACATAGTGTGTCACATCAGGCCCATGCTGTATGGAAGGATTTTCATACATCAGTCCCTGAACTGGAGTTTTAAGAAACAGTTAATAAGTTATTCTGGCAAAGCTTCATTATTTGTCTTGGGAGAAATCCAGCCGAGAGCGTGTAATTTGGTATGTCAGACTACATTCAGGCATCTGAGATTGAGTCAAGTAGTTGTAGAGAGAGTACATTCACCCATTATAAAAAACATATTCTTCTAGCAATGCCTACACAAACTTAAATCCAGGCTACTATTTTCAGGATCAGTGTTGAAAGCTTCATTATAGACAGATCATCTAATGATATCACTACCATAAAACAGTACAGTATTTAAGTAGGTATGCATGGTGAAGATGCATGCTGAAATAACCTTTAAAATTAAAAAGGCCCAAACATTTCCATCAAGTCTGCTTATTTATTCATTTTCAAGGATCAAAGCACATTTAACTGGGAAAAAAAAAAAAAAAAAAAAAAAAAAAGCTTATTTTTAATTTTTTTTTTATTATTATTTTTTTGGTCATGAATAGTATAACCTGGGAGGGGGAAGCTTGTTTCTGCTTTTGCCTTAACAGATTCTTCATCATAATTTTTGTATCACAAGTTGAAAATTCAATGAAAAAGAAAATAAACCCCATAAATACCTAGCTAATTCAGGTCTATGTCATTCCTCCAATCAGCATCTTGCTGGAAAGAAAGGAGAAACATGGCATATATCATAGGTAGGTATGATTTTACATATGGTGCAACCTAGAGGGTTAGGGCAGGAGAGGCAATGTTGTGACAGAAATGTTTTGGTAAACAACACTCCTCTGCAGTTCACCTACAAAGTCACTGGACACTCAGTGATTCATTCTGCTACTGCTTTGTCTTGCTGCAAGTGCTCTGACTGCTGGCATTAATAATTATTGGCAGGGTATTCATGGCAAGAAGTCTAATTTCTGACAGGAAAATGACAGACAGTAGATGAACGGTGTATTTTTTAGCATGGCACTTTAATTTCCTAATGCCAGGTTCTGTCAGTTGAGTGCTGGAATGCCCACTAACCCAACAAAGAAGGGAACTCATGTCCCTCTGCTAACCAATTTCTATCATAAGAAAATAAAATGGAAAACATAGACAAAGATAATTTGGTGTCAGTGCATGATCACCAAGAACCTAGTTCTCATTCCTAAGAAATACTAGGAAAGCAGATGTTTACTACTGTGATTCTTAAGACTAATTCTCTACTAATTTATTTAATATTCTAGAGAAAATGTTTGCATTCACAACTACTATACTTTTCATTGACATTTCCTAAGAAAAATAATTATTTGGGGGGTTGTTTTTTTGTTTTGTTTTTGGGGGTTGCCTTTGGTTTCATTTATTAATTGTTGGGGGGGTGGGGGTGGATAGGAGTGTTAATTTCTGCAAAATCTTTTCAGGTAGGGATGTGGAAAAAAAATGAATACAAAAAAATGAATACACTCCTTAGGAATATAAGATCATATAGGCTATGTACCATAATTAATAAGAATATAATTGCACAGGGATTAATTTATTTTCAGATAAAATAATTGAAAATCCTATTCTGCTTTGATTATTTATCTACAGATTTTCTCTGTTCTCAAGAAGTATAAAGCCAATCAGCAAAGCATATATAGTGTGTTTATAATGCTTCTGTGAGGTGTTATTTCTGTTTAACAGCTGAGTCTGATGCAAAAGTCTGAGGACTACTTAAAATCCCCCCAGATGCCCAGGTAGAGGAGCTTGAACTTGGTCTTCTGTTTTCAAATCTGGCTTCCCAACCACAAGGCTGTCCTTTCATTCACTGTGCATCTTTTCCATTCTTACAGTGATGATGGGATCAGGCCTAAGTATGATACTTAGGTAACCACCTTGATAGAGGTTTTGTTATTCCATGGATCACTTGCCTGAGGAAATTGCTGCTACTATAAGAGCAAATTACTATTTCTGAAAGGAATTCCATCCACTTCCAATGATTTGCAAACATTTTCTGGAGGTTTAATAGGCTCTGATTTTGAAATCATTGATAACAAAACTTGTTTATTGTGGTTGCAAGAACCTCTGTGATTAATACAGTGTTTAAAAGTGCTCTGCTTCTGCAATTTCAAGTTCTTAGGAGGTGGTTAGAGTGGAAGTCCATTGTGTCTTGGCCTGCATAGGTGATACCTGTATACTGGAAGTTGATGACCATTTTATTTTGAAATAATAATGAAAAATATGAAGACTCTCTCTTTAAACACTATTTGTGCACATTGCTGTAAGGTATTTTCAAGGGTAAGTTTATTGTTTCAGTGATTATACAGACAGAGGAAATGATAAACCCCTGATTTCTGTGGTTCATGGATTAGCTATTTTGAAATCTGTTTAAGTTTCTTGCTTAACAGTTCTCTAACAATGTCTCAGAATTCCCACATGATTCTATCACACTCTGTGGCTGTCTCAGAGAATGAAGTTCTCTGTCCACAGAATGTCCTAAATGTGCAAACAGACTTTTTTACGTTACCTGATACAAGAGCAAGACATGAACTAGAAAAGAGTGTGTTTGCATTAAAAGAGAGGCCACTTCTTTAGAAAGATTAACGAGAGATGTTCCGATCAGTGAGAGTAAGGACAATGTTGTGTTAAATTCAAGAGTGTGGTTCTCTTGATAGAAATGTTTCTTCTTTATTTTTAAGAAGAAACGGTAGTATAAAGCTTGATGTTCTCTCAACAGTTCCATCAAAGGCTGAATTACCACTAAGCCCTGTTGCCAAGATTACTTAAGTGGAAAAAAAAAAAAAAAAAAAAAAAGAATGTATTCTGAATTCATATTGAAAAATATATATATATATATTAGTAGCAAACATTTGTACAGTTGGTTCTTTTTTTTTTTTTTTTCTTCTTTTTGAGACCTTTCATACCCTCTACCTAAAATCTTGTGGCTTGACTGTCATAGATGGTATGAAACTAGGAAACAGCACTCATAACAACTGAAGGCTCAAGTCAGTATTATTTATGTGTGTAGGGTCCATGAGTACATATGTAAACATAGGTCTTTAACTACACAAGTGTGGTTTGAAATGCTCTATGCAAAGTAGTTCCAGCACTGCTTTTTAAAAACTACAAATACTTTAACAATGTGCACAATATAAAACTTCTTCCTTTAATAGGAAATCAATTATAGTAACTAAACCCTCTGTAATACCACTTTTGCTACACATTCAAGTTCACAAATTAGCAAAAATAAGGTAGGCTTCCTGAAGAATGTGTTTCTATAAATGTGTTTCTAAAGTCACTGCACCTCACTGAAGTGAATAACCTAATTTTGATCTACATTGATAAATGTTAGTGGTCACTGAGATCAGTGGAAGAATGTCCAGTGCCAAAGGCAATGTGTCTTCATGAATTACTCATAAATTTGAGAGCACTACTATATCCTTTAGTTTGTTTAGTAGAGAAGATAATGTTGATAATTTTGGAAATTCAGATCATTTTTTTAGAAACCTCAAATTGGAAGCTGAAATGGGAGCATCCAAATCAGATCATTCTAGATGTTTTCACTCTCCCTCCTGCACTGCTAATAGCTATTTTAGTTGCTTTAAGGCATTATTACACTAAAAAGGAAAAACTTGGAATTTTATTTGTCCCAAGTGAGTTTGCAGCGTTATTTCTTGGAATTTACTTAGTGTAAAAGTAAAAAAAAAGTTGAAGCAACTGGTCATGCAGCAGTTGTTAAAAGACTGCAGAGAATGGGGAATAATTCTGACATCTCTGATCTTGAACATGCTTTCAATTTATGTCAAAGCTCGATGAACACCAGCATCCATGGTTTTCCATTCACTTTTTGCTGCCATTCACATTTTTGCCTCTACCATATAAGAACAAAAGGAGTTTAATTTTCCCTCAGTGTCTCTGCTTCTCCTTACCATTGATTTCTCGTGTCTCACTTCAGCAACTAACATGCTTCACATTCAGTGATTTTGGTTTTATGTCTGAAGAATTAGACATCCTTCCTTAGAGGAGATTCTCCAAGCAAGTAGATAGTCCTTAGATCCTGAGGTATGGAAGAGACGAGGAAGAAGGCATTGAAAGCATAAGATTTTCTATTTTTATTTTTTAATCTGGAATGGTGAAATGCTCATGAGGCTTTTTTTAACTAATATTGTGCATAATGGTAGCCATGTGGTGGTAACTGGTTAATTCCCCAGAAGAAATTTTTCTCACCTTGGAAAATATGAAAACTCACTTAAAGGCCACCAAGTTGCAATGGCTTAATATTGAATTCAGTCTTAATGAAGGTGGTTTAAGCAAATGTATTTTACCTCACAATTCGGCCAGTCTAAGGTTGTACACGTGGCTTACATCATAGTTTTAGAACTCCAGCTCCTGTGCATCAGTATCATTACAGAGAGAGTTTCTGAACTGTAATTTGTCTTACTCCAGTTGAAATCACTGGTGTTGTTCAGATGATTAAATGCCTGAAAGCCAAAGCCTTTTCAACAAAAACATCATTCTCTTTTCTTCACTAAGGAGGGTTAAGGAGATGGGTTGAAAATCTGATCCTTCCCCACAGGGATATTCTGAAATATGTAAGGCAGGTGAAGCACAGCAACATAACTGAAGCTTCAGAGCTCCAAATTATGTAAACCCAATGTAGCTACACCAATGTTGAGCTTTGTTGGCTGACCAGACTAAGACCTGTCTATAATGCTTGAATGTCCACTTCTTCTGCCTGAGACAATAAACACACTGCAGATTTTACTTGTTTATATGTTTTAAAGATTATGAGGCATAAACTGATCATATTCTCAGATGTTTAATGGCCGGATTTGGGCATACATAGTCACTGTTTCAAGCAGTAAACCTAAATTCAAAACCATTTAAGAATCTTGTTTGATGTGGTACATTTTTCTCACTAAACACACTATTGTCTCCTTCCCTGAAGTTATGTTAATGCACCTCCATCAGAATTATTCCATTGTGCATGACATTAAGTTATATTCTAGAGTCAGTGAGAATAACCTATCATAATAACCTATCATGTGGAAGTAGAATCTCAGAGTTAATATAGAAGAAGGATGAGGACATATAATTTTGAGGTTACATTTCATTCAAGTCTATTTTTTGATGGAAATACTACTTGTTTTCTTCTCTAGAACACAGCTAACTTTAAACTTTACCTCTTTACTTTTTGACCTTTGAGTATAAACAATTATTTTCTCTATCCTTGCATGACCACCCTATTGATGTTAGCAAAGTCAAGAATGGAGAAGCTAGAGTTGACTTTTGTCTCTCTTTATCCACTCTGTTTCATCTTCAAGCTTCAGTTTTGGAAAATAAAAAATAAAATAAATAAATAAATAAATAAATAAATAAATAAATAAATTATATATATATATTCACCAAGAAGTTTCAATTCTAATTAGTTTTTGTTAAACATCTATTTTTAACTGCATCTATAGTCTGCAAACAGTAATCTGGTCTCATTCTCTGTAGAAGAAGTAGAGGTTTTCTCACAGACATGTAATTTCCATGACAGTTTTATTTATTTATTTATTTATTTTACTTACCATGCTAGCTTTCAGTTTCAGTGATTAGATCTGTCTTTGGTGAAAATAAAATGTACACTCATGGAGAAATTTTTCTCCATGTGTTTTTTTTAAGTGGAAGCTTTGAAATACATAAGACACTCTTGTGAGAATTCCTGCATAAACAAGTCTGAAGTTCATTGCCTTTCTTAGATTCATTGACACAAAAAGTGAAAATCTTCTGTGTTTCTACAAAACACTGGGGAAAAAAAATAAAATAAAATAAAATAACCTGAACTGTGCAATATGCTCCTACTCAGGAGCATATTAATAAAAAAATAAAATTAAAAAAATAACCTCCTACATGTTAAACAGATGGAATAAATAAAAATAAAAATCTACCACCCAATGAAGTCAATTGAACCAAAGTGTTTGACCAAAGACTTTGATGTAACACTTTGCCTCATTTATCCAAACTTGTTTTCAATTTATTCCCATGTGTCAGAAGACAAACCTAGAATACCTCAGACCCCTTAGAGATATCAGAAGAAAGTTTTTTAGTTTGGTGGTTTCAGGAGTATAAAGTAGAACTATAGATAACTAGACTAAAACATGACTAGACTAGGACTTTTGGACTTGTTTTCAATTGCAGAATAGAGAAACAGCAATAGCTTTTTACTGAGAGCACAACAATGGTTGTACATTTAGAAAGACAGTATGGGATCCAACTGATTTAATAGGTTAATCATATTGGTCTCTTGTAGTCAGTAGAGATCTACCCATTTCATTGAATAACATCCTTGGTTACCTCTTATTTCATTATAAACAAGATGTTAAAAGAGGGCAGACAGATCTCATATAATAGTCTGTTTCTCACCACTGACTGCAGAGTATGGGATGACAGGGTTAGAGGCAGATATCTATATTATAAACTGCGAAAGTTACATGAGATGAAACTAAATAACCACTTTGCTGAGTAGCATCCTTGCTTTTTATTCTGTCTGAATGAGAGAAGTGAATGAGTCTACTTGCATGCAGTGGATTAGTGCCCACATTCATTGCAGTGGGGTAGGATTGTACAATCCTTGCTTTTTGATCTGTAAATACAGGATTTCTGTAAAGCTAGCTTGTGTTTTTACCAGTAAACAAGTCAAGGTGCAAGAAATCCTTAGCTACTGAGTAGCAAGGAAAGGATTTCCCACAGCCTATAGCAATATCGGATATAAATATTAGATGGTACAGCTGCATTTTTCAGTTTTTCCACTCTCTCTCCCATACAATCTTTCAACTTTCACTTTGGTTAACTTTTTACTGTATTTTCAGCAGTTATTTCACTAGTTTGTTTCTACATTTCTTCCCTACTGCTACATATTTTGTTTTATTTTTCTTTTTCAGTGACCAGGTTGCCAATCCTATTTGGAGTAAGGTTACGTAAAATTATTTGAGCAGGGTGCACAAAGGTTCTTAATGAGGCACAGTATTAAATTCTGTTAATCAAATTCTACCTTCATTATGTTTTCCCAGAGGCTCTACCTTCAGCATATTCAGAGACAACCCACAAACTTTTCCTTTCCCTGTGTACTATTAATGACCAAAACCCAGAGCCCTGATTTTTCATTATGTATGTACAAGGACTTGGTAAAAATGCATAATGTCACTCCCCTGAAAAAAAAAAAAAAAACATACTCATTTTACTTCTTCTAAGCATCTCTGAAAAACCTACAAAGTCTTTAGGACTGAATTGCAACTACTTTTGCCTCAAATTTGTGAACTCTCTCATTTGCATTAATTTGCTAGACGTAAGGTGTTCAGTCTGACAAGATGGTCTTCAGCCACATCATACATCACTCATTTCATCCTGGGAATGTTTAACTTTTTCTTTCCCCTTCCACCCTAGCACCCTCCCTCTTCCTTCCAGATGCAGCTGCAGTCCATGCACAGGACACATGCGGTGAGACTCAGCTTGTTTGCCTTTAGCTGTCTAAAGTCTCGTATTTAATCTAAGCAGTCTAGTTGTTGTCTATGGTCAAATCGAGAGACCAGGGCACCTCTCCATAAGACAATGCATCCCGTATGTCCTAGATGGCACTGTTGCATAGGTTAGACCAACCTCTGGAAGTGCCCGTTTCTTTCCATGATTGAGTAAGTTAAAGATGGTAGTTCAGTTTAAATTCTTAGATGCATATAGTTAAACGTGACCAGTTCCATTTTGTTTGTGCCTACAGAAATCTGAGGCTTCTGCCCTAATTCATGTAATGTTTTGATATCCATAATCTCATTTATATTATTATTCTCTTATTTAGTTATTTTTCCTCCTTTTCATTTCTTTGTGATTCCTGCCTCTTCTGTCTTTTCTCTTTCTCCATTTCTTTCTATTGATGTTTCAACTTTGCTTAAAAATAAATTAATAAATAAATTAATAATAGCAAACTGAAAAGGAAAGAAAACTCTTGTCAGTTCTATATTCTGAAGATTTTAAGTGACTTTAAAATATCTAACATCAGGGAGATGATTAGGTAAATTAGATATGATGATAGAAAAATGTTAAAAGCATGCTAAAATATCAGCATTTTCTTAAGAAATGCTAAAGAAGTTTTCCATTTTAAGGTATGATCTTACCCTCATTGGCAGTAGAATAGCAGTTATTTCTTAGATAGTTTTTTTTTTAGAATCAAGTCTTACCTTTTCAATAATTATATCAGAAAAACAAATGCTGTCATATTAGTTCTACTCACTATAATGAAAGTCAATCCTTGCCAAATAAAACAGGATATAATCAGTAAAGGAAAGTTATAATCAGTGACTACACCCCATAACTAAGATTTTTAAAAGCAATTATTGATTTTTACATTATTTGATTTTTAGTTCATTTTCAGATTATGTACCTTAAAATACCTTCATAAACACCATTTTTCAGCACAAGCTGGGCAGCCCTCTTGTGGTAAAAGTTGTTCTGATAATTTTCTGCTGTTTCAACTCAGGTTATCCAAGAATGAGACACTCAAAATCCAGTCACTTTTGAAAGTCTCAGCCATTGTAAAAAGGAACTTTCTCTGAACTTCTTTAAAACTTTCATCCATGTTTTTAATCAGTTTTAAATATTGAGTAAAGCACAACTCACTTCTGTAAAAGACAGAGGTAGTGCAAAATTTTATTCAATAAATGATTCTGTAAAAGGAACAGTCATTTTCGTATTTCCTTCAGCTTCATACAAGAAAAGAGTTTTGTTTTGTTTTCCTTTCTTTTCTTTTTGCAAGTTGAAACATGATTGTTTTTTTCTATCTACTGGATGTTTGCATTCCACTACACTGTAATTTTTCCAGCTCTTAAGCTATAGTCTCTATAGTCTCTAATAGAAATGTAGGTTTTTGATTATGCTACAGGGAAAAAAAAAAAAAAAAAAAAGAGTCCCATTAAATGGGATTGGCTTAAAAGTGTTACCAGTAGGGAGAAATTTAACCTGTTTTCAACTTACTTTATTATACTGTTAAAGTTATGAAGTGCTTCTTCCATCTATAACTAGATGAACAGAAATCATAGACCATGCATATTAGCAGAGAAACAGAAGCAACTTTTGATTCACTTTCTAGGCAATTGATTAAAAAAAAAAAAAAAGTAATAAAAATAAAACCAGAGTATCCTTTAGAGTCAACAAAGATTTAGTCGGGATAGCTATTGGAGTTTTCTATTCAACCCATCCTAAAGTAGACATCTAAAATAGATATACCTTGACCAACAAGTATGTACTTCTCACATGACCATCCCTCTGATGATTCCCAATGGACCAATTCACGTCCGGTTTAGTTAGACTGTAAATATCCAATTATTACTGTAAATATCCAAGCTTCACTGAGGTGAATTCCACCAAAATAACCATGTGTTGAAAACAAAACAAAATATCAAACAGAAACTCCCACATATACCTCAACAACAGATTCCTATTGTTAATTCTCATGGTTTAATTTTTTAAGTCTGACATAGCAGATACAACATATCTATCCCTCAGATCCTTCAACATGCTTTCCCGTGTTGTTTCAAGATTAATGTTTTTAACAACTGATTCAAATTAGCCTCCGTGTGGTTAAATTTAAATATACACTTCCCATTCTCTATAGTTCCTTTTAGAGTACAACATGTAGGGATCACAGTTCTGGTCTATCATAATGAGCCTGCTGCTTATACAATCCCACCTGTCTTAGTGTGCTGGACAAAAAATAATATGTATCTGGGCAAAGAAGTGCTTCGGTGTCCTTAGTAGTAATCTTCACTAGAAAGAAGGGATTCACACTACCTTGGGTATTTACACATGAAAATGAAGAACATCTGCTCCAACTTCACCATAGATTAATTTCCATCCTACAAGTTTATGTTACTATTTGATTGTTCTCCACAAGCGTGCAGTCAGCTTTCATTTATTATATTGTTCTGTTACCCTCTGTACACTACCAGACTGTAAAAGTCATGTGTATTTTGGATGCATAAAACTGCCCGCCTTCCTCCAGGTTGTTTGATCTTTGGTTTGTCTGTGAATCGACACATCCCAGTTGCCAGTGACACCCAATGCATTTTATTTTTATTTAATTTCTTTATTTTTGCTTCGGTCAAGCAGCTGGTTTGTGTTGTAACTTCATTCTGTCATGTTCGCTTTCCATCTTTGTGATGTGTCTCATGAAATGTGTTGAAAGTGACCTACCTTGGCCTGTTCACAATATGCTGAAAAAAATGCTAATCTTGTCATATTTAGCAGCTGCGTTCAGAAATGCTACTGTAAGCCTAAGAGGGCTAACCAGCACTCTTGCAAGATGTCAGAACTATCAACCATTACCCTGTAAGTGTACGCAATCCTGTAACATTACTGTGTTTGTATGAAGCATGTTGCAAGTAAATGATTTAATATAAGCAGATGGGTAGTAACTGAAGAGCAAGCATTCATTTAGTTCTTGTTGCATGTAGAATTTTTTGTTGTTCTGTGCTTTTGCTGATGCACCTTGATCAAAGATTTAAGAGCTTTTTTTTTTTTTTTTTAATTTGTAATTATCACTGATGCTATTTATGGTTTTGGATAGTGTCTCTATAGAAACTGTTAATAGATAGTCTTTATTATACAGCAAAGTGGTGTTCTCTGGTCATTCTGAGAGGAAATGTTTCACCTGAAAGTTTGCTATAACAATAGGGGTAGAGTAGGGCAGGCTTGAGTGAATCAGACATTCAGTTGGTGTACAAGTCTGATGAACTGAGTGAGGTTTTCAGTATACATGAAGGGATGAGGAAAAGTATACATGAAGGGATGAGGAAAAATGTGTCTTTTTGTTTAGAGACAAGAACTAATAATGTTCTCACAGTGCATCTCACTCTCTGTTACTTGTGCAAGAAGCCCACAGGATACGTTTAGATGAGATGTGTACCTTTCAGAAATCTTATACTCTATACTTTCTGGTGAACATTCCCCTTAATTTTATATCAGGCTTATGAGTGCAAATCAACACTCCCAGGGATCTCTGGCTCCACTGATCCACAAGTACAACATTTTGCTGAAGAATAGTATTTGCTGAAATCATTAAGGAAAACAAATTGTTTAGTAACTTACAGTTCTGTAATTTGATATGTCTTCTTACTAACAAAACCCATTTTAAGCGTGAATATAAACTTCCCCTGATTGTGATTCTACATCTCCTCAAGGTATTTAAAAAATAGAGCTCTGACAATGCTCAAAAGATTCAGTCAACAGACATATGTCATGCAAAAACAGGTGGAAAGAATAGAGACTAGCAGAGAGGCAGGCAGCAGGTCCATTTTCTGCATGGAAAGAAGTCTGAAGTCTAAAAAAAGTAGTGGCAAAACTGGGGTGTACATTTAGGAGGAGATACTATAAATACAAGGTTCTCCTCTTAACCTTAACAAAAATATAGATTTTTTGTTGAGCCTTCGCAGGGAAACAAACTTCATGTTAAGTGCAGTACTTCACAAAGACAGAGGACTGATAGCTGCCAAAGGTGGAATTCTCTACTTAGTCAAAGGCAGGGAGAGTTCAGCCTAAACACGAGGCCAGAAAAATTATACACTTCCCCCCCCAAAAAAAAAATTTTAAACTGTACTTTTTTTGCCAGAAATGGAAATCTCAGTAAGCCTCCACTGTTTTTCAAGCCGTTAGTCTGAAGACATGTTTTATACATGGGAAAATAAAGACATCATCAGTTATTGTGTCTAGGTCTTGCCTCAAGTCTTCCAAAGTCCTACAGACCTATTTAAGCTTCTGGATAAGATATGTACCTGTCAGGGAGAATACAGACATTCACAAAAGTCAGGTTAACATGTTAGCATTCTTTAAATAATATAGATTCTCTGGTTTATTAAACAGGAGATCTACTAAGCATATTAATGATGGTAACATCCTTTATCTTCATGGTTTGCTGTTTATCTTTCTATTTGAAATATTGTCATTAAAACTTTTTGCACATATTCATCACTGAGTTAGGACCAAAGAGATGGAATTCCTCTGATCTAAACTTTACAAGTCTTTTATCACAATTTATGTCACAAACCTAGTCTAAACCTCCTTTACAGTCAATAGAGAAACATGGAGATGATATTTAAAGGACTTAGGAAGAGGCAATTCATCTTCATACATAAGTGCCTGTTACTCTTTATTGACAATAAAGGGAAAACATAACAACAACTTTCCTCAAAGCCTGTGGTTTTGAAGGTCTTTTGCATCATTTGAAAGTCTGTGATAGTCTCCAAAAAGTTGAATGATAAAAGTCTCTAAGCACAAGGCAACAAAGTGTTTGCCAGAGTACAAGTTATTGTGTATTTTATTTTTACCTTAATAGCACAGTGCTATAACATCTGTCAAATCTTATGTAAATACACTTTTTTTTTTTTTTTTTTTTTTTCGAGCTACACTACTCTGCAGTTAGTCCAATAGGAGCAGCTATAGTCCCAGGAGAAAACGTTCAAGACACTATTTCAGTGGGAATATCTGGAACTAATGGGAGTGAAAGCTCTAAGCTACAGCTTTCACCTCTATCTCAAAGACAGAAAAAAAAGTAACAACCACAAATTTCCTCAGTCACTTCTTGAGCTTCATGTCACCTGGTGTAGAAGACCCATGTTTTTTAATGCCTGCCTTCAGTTACTGAAAATAGCATCCTCACGTATCCAGAGCAGATTTTCTTACAGTTATATCTGCAGATTGTGAATCTAGAGATATATCTTTGTTGTCACATTCAAAGAAGCTGGAAGAACCTATTTAGACCATTTAGACCTCATTGGTGCTTGTTGCCTGTAACATCTCTCTTTCTCTCTTTCTCTCTCTCTATTTCATTTGAGCAGTAGTTACTGCATTTGTTTAGATAATAGCATAAATTTGTCTCATAGAATCATGTTTTAAAATGCAGAATATGATCACACTGGAATATTTAGTAGAAATTGCTTGGAATTCTATTCAACAATGCAATATGATGTGTATTTTCATTTCCATTTCAAGCCTGGTTTTGTCCCATGTAATATGCACAGACATTTCAGGAGTCACCTGAATAAGTGTGGATGTGCAATGGCAAAATAGACATGGTTGCTCCAGAGACAGGTCAAAGTTAGATGACCTTTCTACTTTCTGTTACATTTATTATAAGGATGTCTTTCTATAATTTCACTTGGTTAAGGAAACACACTCAGGAATGAGGAAAAATAAGAGACACAATTACCTTTGTCTTTTTGGACTAACTTTATGGAAAGTTGATATTCCATGGAAATGTTCATTCCATACTATTGGAATCTGATTCTTAAGCTGTTTTTAAGGAAGATGACAGATGGAAAATAGAATGCCGGCCTCAAAAATAAATAAATAAATAAATATATATATATATATTTGCACACATACTTTGTTTTTATTTTATTATTATTATTGTTTTACACTTTTTTATTTTTAATTTTTTTTGTAAGTAAGCTTGAAATATTCCTTTATCCATTGGAAAATAATCAAGTTTTTTTCTATACCTTTGGAGAATATGCCTCTTCCAAACAGTCTGTTTAAAACTCATTAACTGATTATTGACCTCAAAACACTTGGATCTGTCCCCCATGTTCCTTTGTCTGAAAAAACGTGGGAAGAAAAGAGGATGGCCTTGTCTTGGATGGCATCCTCCATGTTGCACTCCTGAGAATTTCGCTATATTCTTATCTTTAACATCTTCATTTCACCATTGCACATATACACATCAGTCTCACAGCTGCTGCTTTGTCTTTCTTCCTAATATTTTCAGAAAAACACAGTTCATCATCATCTGCACAGCCATTAGTAATAGTTTAAGTTTTTCTTCCTATTAAAATCTTATTTTCCTCTCTGTTGATCTTAATCATATAGAAATTTCAGGATGAAATTTCAGGATGAAATTTCAGCTTCTTACATTTCATATATTTTCTTCATGACTCCTATGACACTACTGAAGACAACATCTCAAATAAGTTGATGATGACATTATATTTCAAGATCTTATAAACTAATTTAATGATTAATTAAATTACTAATGCCAGAAAACTGGCTATAGAGAAAATTCTGCATCTTTCCCAAAAGTAATCCCCTATGACTGCAGTGAAATAAACCATACTAATTCACAGTAATATTTGAATCAAAATAGCATTTATCATTTGATTGTTATTGACATTAAACCTGAATAAAAAGCATAGCAGAACTTTAGGAATCATACTTATTTCTCCTGTTTACAATCTGCATTTGATTTCTTTGTATCCTATTGGTAGTTGAAGATACTATTAAATTCATTACAAACTTTATTTTTTTTATGGAGATTTTATGGAGAGCATTATTCTATAATCTTTTCTACAATATTTTCATTCCTTTTTATTAATCTAATTTCATACTCATAGAGAAAAAGGACTAGAAGAGACCTTGAAACTTCTTAATCCATTGTACTGAGTCACTCCTGTATAACTTATTTTAGAGGCCACCAAAAATGAAGACTTTGCACTCTCTTTATCTCATTTCAAGGTTTTCTTCTTTAGTTAAAATACTTTTGGCCAATGTCTAACTTGATATTTTGCAAGAACTATGCTCTGTGATTTGTGGGGTCTTTCACGAAGACTTGAGATTTAGTCTGCATCTGACTAGTGAATCATATGCATTTAGTATCATCTTAAGGCAAAGTCTGTGATGTGTTTATCACCACTAGTGCACAAAGTATGACAGGGACATTAGCAATGCACTGATGTCCCATTTGAACAGGATATGTTCAAAGAGTTCTTGGAGATATTAAATAAGTCTTCATTTTCAGTAAGAAAACAACATAATTTTAAGGATATTATAGAACATGTAATAAGCCAATTCAAACTAGTCTGCAATATCCTGCATAAATATAAGGAGGCCAAAAATTTGAATTTAAAAACAGCATGGAGCTCTTCCAAAGGTCTTTATGGTTTTATAGATTTCCTTGTCCTCTATCTATTTCCTCAACTTATTTAAGAAAATCAGTAACACTTTTTCCTCAGAACAAACCCTCCACTGGAATTGAGCAATTATGTGAGAGGTTTATAATTGTTTTATGGTAGCAGTTTGAATCCCATGCCAAGATTTCCCACGTTTCTCTTGTTTGGCAGTGTAGGAAAAAAAAAAAATATTTATAATAATATAAATCGGAATAACAATACAGGGTATAATGTATTACTAAAGTGTTATAATTGTACCAGTATGAAGAAACGGAAGCAAACTACAGTGTGTTTAAAATCACTGTTAGGGAACAAATGGGGATGTTGTATATTCGTTTGTTTAATTATGAAGTGTATGTATTTCCTGAAAGGGAAGCAACAAAATAGATTCTGTGTTTTCTTCTTTAATTAAAGCACAAGTTGTTTATTACAAGGCTGCATTAAAGTTCTTTCACTCTATTACAACAGGAGACTGGCTCGCTCTACGCTACTGCTTATCCCCTTGTTTGGAATTCACTACACGGTGTTTGCTTTTTCTCCTGAAAATGTCAGTAAGCGGGAGAGACTAGTGTTTGAATTGGGACTGGGATCTTTCCAGGTGATTATACAGTGAATTCTGCTTTTGTTAAAAAGAAATCTCTTATCATGACTATGCACGCACAGTTTTCAGACCATATGTTTATTCATTTATGTATATGCTTTGTGTACAAACATTTTGGGTTTTGTTTGTTTATTAAACTCCGTTTTCCAGCATTTCCTGAAAGATTTTTTTTTCTCTCATGTTTACCTAGGGTTTTGTTGTTGCTGTTCTCTATTGTTTCTTGAATGGGGAGGTAAGACCTTTAATATTTACCCTCCCTCACCCTCACCCTCAATTTCCATTCCCATTCCATTTCTTTGTAGGAATAACTGTTATCCTAATTTCTCCCTATCACATATTTCTCCATCTACATATTTCCTAATACCTCAGTCTGAATTTCACAATATCTCAACAAAAGAAGGAGGATGTGTGATGTCTTTATCAAAACAAAACATTGGCCTTGCCACAAATGATGGCTCAGATTAATGTTCCCTAACAGAGGTAGTTACTTTTTTAAGTGACTTGTTTCCCAGGAGTCCTTCTGGAGTCAACAGAGAGAGAAGCACCTTGAAGGAGAGACTCAGACCTTAGCTAATCTGACTCATTCTCTGCAGTTACCTGTATTACAGGATAATGCAGTTTTAATATAGTTTTTTACGGCTTTCAGTAGTAAAATAAGATCACTCATCTACAATACAGTTCTACTTGATATTGAAGGCCTAGGAAAGATTTAAGTTGTAGAATGACATTCAAGTGTGCTTAAGTGTTGAAATATTCAACAACTTACTGGGGTAACTGTGGACTGTCTTTGTAATCTAGAGGGGAAAATAAACAAACAAACAAACAAGCAAGCAAACAAACTTAGAAGGTTCTGTGTCTTACTCACCAGTGTGTATTTAGCACAGGTTAAATGAATTATCTTCCACAGATGTCTGTTAACCTGACTATGAAAAGACTAGTTCCTCACTAGTTCCTCACTCACCCCCATGAGGTGGGAGTTGGTCTATTCTCCCATAGTGTGCCTTATGTGCCTGGTGACAGGAAGAGGGGGAATGGGCTGAAGTTGCACCAGGGGAGTTTTAGGTTGAATATTAGGAAGAACTTCTTTACCAAAAAGGTTGTTAGGCATTGGAATGGGCTACCCAGGGAAATGGTGAAGTCACCATCCCTGGAGGTCTTTAAAAGACATTTAGATGTTGAACTTAGTGATATGGTTTAGTGGAGGACTAGTTAGTGTTAGGTCAGAGGTTGGACTTGAGGTTGTCTCTTCCAACCTAGACAATTCTGTGATTCTGTGATTCACTTAAACTTCTAACTTCTGACTATCCAAATAAATAAATAAATAATAAAGAAGATGACTTAATGAATCATACCCCAAACACTCTATCTTGGTTTCATTCAGTGGGGCTACACTAGTTTATATTAGCCAATTTCATGCTATAGTATTTTTAAGCACGACAACTGTAGAGGTGATAACAAGGAAAACTTCATTATTGTTCATTTTCTAATTAGACTTCTGACCAGGGATTGCTTTGCTATGGGTGATTTACTCTGCCCATAATAAAAGGTCATAAGAAAGGAAGGGTTCTTAGATGTACACGGACACAAGAAATGTCTACTGAGAGGCGAGCTGAAAGCATAAAGAGAAGTTTTCTCTGGGCTGATCCTAAATTATCTGTAGTCAGAGACACTGAGTCCAGGCTGTTGTTCCCACTGCATGCCTGGCATTCTTCATACACACAGAAGTCACCTCAGATAAAGTAAGGGGTTTTTATTGTCATTAAAATTGTTCTGTCATTTTTTTTTTCTTTTTTATTTTCTTCTAAGCTTGATAATTTGTCAGCATGTCCTCGAGCGGCTAAGTACATAAAAAATGACCTTTTGAAGTTTCTCCCTAAAGGTGCAATCAGAAATAAAGAGAAAATGGAGGAGCTGGAAAGTCAACCGGTATTTTGCTGTGGATTTCAAACATCGTCATCCTTCTCTAGCGAGCAGCGGAGTGAACGGGGGGACACAACTCTCCATTCTGAGCAAGAGCAGCTCTCAGATTCGGATGTCCAGCATAAATGCGGAGAATCTAGCGACATGAGCAGCTAAGGAAAACAAAACAATAAACAAGCAAACCAAAAACCACCCCTTTAAAAAGAAAACAAATAAACATAGTTTTGCTGGTGGTAGAGGTTTCCTTTCCTTTCCTTTCCTTTCCTTTCCTTTCCTTTCCTTTCCTTTCCTTTCCTTTCCTTTCCTTTCCTTTCCTTTCCTTTCCTTTCCTTTCCTTTCCTTTCCTTTCCTTTCCTTTCCTTTCCTTTCCTTTCCTTTCCTTTCCTTTCCTTTCCTTTCCTTTCCTTTCCTTTCCTTTCCTTTCCTTTCCCTTCCTTTCCTTTCCTTTCCTTTCCCTTCCTTTCCTTTCCTTTCTCTTTTCCTTTTTCTTTCCTTTTCCTTCCCTTCCCTTCATTTTTCCTTCCCTTTTTCATTTCCTTTCCTCCAAAATGTCCTTGATGGTTGTAGAGGTGAAAAAGCAGTGGAAGTGTATATATATATCTTTTTAAAAATCACTGTAAATACACAACTGTACTCAAGGCCATTGATGGAAAATATTTAAAAGCCAAGCCCACCTGCTCAATGATTTACATTTCAGAGCATCTGCAAGTAATCTGTTGTCAGTCAAAAGTAACAAGTAATTGCTGTGCAGTTGTGACCCTTGGTTGCCAAACCGATACTAATCTGTGAATGGACATGAACACTGTAATTTTTCAATTTGTTTTTCATTTTGTTTTGTTTTGGATTTTTTTTTTAATTATTATTTTTTTTTAATACTAGTCAAATGTATCTTATCCTGTCCCTGTCTTTTGGCATGTGAATTTCCAGTGTTTCTTTTTTGAGTCTTAGGATGGAGCTAACATGGGTTGTTCTTACTAGGAGGTTCAGGAAGAACTCCAGGAAATTAACTTCATGGTTGGATTTAATCAGATGTACCCAGTGGACTTAAAGAAAATTCTGTGCCAATGTGAAGATGCATAGCTATCATCAGGCAGTGGGGGGACTCCAGGCAAGAGAGATGAAATCAGCTGTCTTTTGCCATACCCAGGGACACTTCTGAGAATGTTTTATGTTCTAGCTAAGCTGTGAATTTTCTAAAAGGGCCATGTAATTAAGATATATCTGTATTTTTGGCATTGATTGTTTGGGAGTTGATTGATTGATTGATTGGATTCTTTGAATAATAGAAATAACTGTCTCCTCCTTCCCACCTTAAAAGCAAAAGTGAGTTCCAAGATGGTGTTTCCCTGCATATAACCTTGAATCTTCTGCACTTGTGCCCAAACACAGCATGTTTTGGGGTAGTGCTGTGGTGCCTTTGCAACCTGGTTGACTTCTGTGTATTATGACTCTTCCTTCCCAGAGCAAGAGGCACAAGAGAGATCTGGCATGATCGTCTCGGAAAGTAAAAGTCAACTGCATTTGGTGAGAAACCAAACTGAACAATAAAATGCTATAGAAAGAAAAGATAAAGACTTTGGATGACTTCCCACACCTGGTGTTTTTCTCTCTCTTTGGATAATCCATTTCTTTAAATACTGATGTACTTACTGGTTTTGTTTGGATGGTTGGGTTTGGTTTGGTTTGGTTTTGGTGTTGTGGTTTTTATTTTGTTTTGTTTTGTTTTTGAAAGAAACTAAAACATTCTTTCCAACTTTGCCTTGTAGTTAAAGCCACGACTGGTACACATCTACTTCAGTCAAATGTCAATGATGTCAATTCTTAAGTCTTTATACATAAAGGCTCTGATGACCATACTAGCTTTCACTTCATTTTGAATTTAGGAACTGATATACATATATATATCTAAATATATATATATGTGTGTGTGTATGTGTGTGCATATATTAAAAAAAAATAAAAATAAAAATAAAAAATGAAAATGACATTCTAAAGGTGAAGCTACAAACTGAAACTAATAGTAACCAGGAAATTTAAAATTCAGGCTTGTTCTTTGGTGTTAGTTTACTTGATCATAAGTAAAAAATAAAAAAATAAAAAATAAAAAATAAAAAAAGAACAATTCAGAATTTTAGTGTCAGCTGAGCTTTTAATTTCACTGGTTTTTGTTAGTTTAGGGGAAAAAATGTCATTTTAAGTATAAATTTTTTAAAATAACACTAGCTTCCTTATTTTTAAAAGGAAAAAAGAGTCAGTTGTGAAAGAAGTATTAATTGTAATACTTAACTCTTACATAGTGCTTTATGGGACATACTCTGCTCTCAGTTGTAGCAGTGTAAATGAATGTAAAAATCACTCTAAACAGAGAGAAATGTTAAGACTGACTTCATATCATACAAGATCGTTCTAATATGAGACACTTATGCCCCAGTCAGGTTAAATCTACCCTTGTACAGAGGACCAGAAAAAAGATTTATATCAGTTAAATTATACTACAGTACCTTAAATGGGAGTTACATGATCCTGACATTGTTTGCAAGTCTTCAGCATTGGTTTACTGTTCTGAGAGCAGAATTTATCCTCCTCTTCCAGACTCTGTGCAAAAATCACTGAAATATTTTTAACTGATAGATTAGAATTTCCTATCTCATTAGATGATGCTAAAAGCTATTTTATAAAGTTTTCCAAGGAACCATAGTATTTGCAAACCAGAAAGAGAGGGAGATGAGGAAAGTCAGATCTAATATGTAAATGAATACTTATACTTTTTTTTTTTAAATGAAATTATCTGATATTAGATGAACAGATATCATTTAGTTTTGTATTTTCTGTAGTATGGGATTTCACAAGGTATTATATTGGCAATACTGTAAGCGTATTATTAAAACAATCTAAAAGTTTATTTTGCATGAATAGCTGGTAGTCAATTTTCAAGCATTAATAAATTGGAACCTTTGGGAAAAAAAAAAAAAAAAAAGTGTTGATTAACTGCCTCTGGTTGGAAATTTTATGCCATGTTTCAGTCCAGAGCAAGAAGGTGTTTGGATCTTTTTTTTTTTTTTTGGTCAAAGCTTTTTCTAAGATTACTTTCAGATTCTGTTGTTTTCCTAGCTGTCTTACAGTGCTTTGCAATTTGAGTTGGTGGATCTTTCTGCAGTGCCTCGTGGGCAAGTGTCCACAACATCAAAACTATCCTCCAATCATGCCCCCTAGAGATCAGGTCCTCAGCTATGTTAGAATCAATACAGATAACCATTGTAATTGTTAGAACAAAGCCACTTCATTTTGGTTCTGGATTTGTGCCTCAGAACAGTATTGTTAATACTATTTTTTAGGCATTCTCAGCAAGAGAGGATAAGGACTGAATAGTCATGAAAACATGGACTTGTCCCTTACACTCCAGAGCCAATGCTCTGGAGCAAGGCAAGTTGAAGGGCATTGGAGGGGAAATTCCTACTTTTTCAGTCCATGTGTTTACTGTTCAATGGACGAATTGAAGTCTACAGTACCTTTCACCAGCACTGAATTTACCAGAAGAAACGATATATCTCCACATATCTAATATATGTTATTTTATATAAGCAATCCCTTCTATTATATTTTTTTATTGTAAGTGCTGACACACTTGCAAAGTTATTGTGTTTTTTTGTGTGTGTTTTTTTTTTTTTTGGTTTGTTTGTTTGCTTTTTCTTAGTCATTCTGACTTTCTCAGTGTTTCTGGAAAGATCAGATTTCAGGTGTATATAGTAAACTAAAACAGATTCTGATGCCATCGCACAAATTTCTGTCTCAGAAATCTTTATATTGAATGTAAGCTGAAGATACTGGACATGCATGGCCACCACTCACAGTGGCTGCCATTTCTATTTGTTTCAGGATGGAAGAAACCAAAAGCTGGTTTGCTTCTGGGTGTGTGTAAATATCAATTCAGTGTAATAGTGCTTTGTTTGATTTTTCACTGTGAAATATAGTTTGGAGCTAGAAAGACTATGTTATTAAAACTATGTAATTAAAAGGAAAACAAAAGTGTGCAGTGCAGTACTCCTTGAGCCATCTTTTCTACCATGTCCATAATGTATTTCTAGTCTAATTTTTTTTTTTTTAAGAGTTCAAAAACCTATCGTACTGCATCTTTTGTGAGTATTTACTGTACCTAACCACTGTTTTATTATTGACTTTTGATGTGGACTATTGGTATGACAGAACTATTAACATCCCCAAATGAAAAATAAGATATATATTTCAGAAGTACAAGGCTTGTTTCATTGTTGACTGGTGACCTCAAATGTTTTTACCTTCACCTGTATTGTGTTTAGTTGTGTGTATTTTTATTTTGTAGAAGAAATGCCCAGGTTGTTCTGCTTCATTTAAGTACTTATATTTGAAAACCAGGTGTTAAAATTGGATGATGGGAGAAGGGAGAGAGAACAGTTAAACTGAAAGTTTTTTGGTTTTTTGTTTTGTTTTGTTCTTTTTATCCAGTGATTTGCTCTTATGAACAAAGCTTCCAGAGAAATGTTGGATATTTAAAATCATCTTCTACCTGGTGCTGCAGAAAAATAAATGTGACCCTAGGAGATCTGTTATAGCCTGGGAGTTCTAGGGGAAGCAAGATAAAGTAGTAAAGACAATTAGAGCAGGATCCTGCTTGACCTCCAGCTGTCAAACAAGATTGGTGTCTCTTATAGCTCCTATCTGTGATGTCTGTGTGGATTTCCAGGAACCTGAAATAAACTCACTCACTGAGATAAACTAAGCTTATCTACTTTTGGGTAGCTAGACTATGTCTATGTGAGAGTGATGTCTGTTGGATTCCTGAGGTGGAACAACTTTAGAGGTGTACATAATGCAAAGATACAACCAAATATCTGATTTTGCCTGATTTCCACAGTAAGTCCTAAAACCTAGATCTGTGGGTTTTAATTAGGGCATATAAGAGATTCTGTGAAAGAAAAAAATAATATGTATATATCCATAGCTATAACTGCAAAACTGTTTAGACAGCCTCCAAAGGTGCTGAAATCTCAGTTAGGCTATATTATACGTCTGTGTCCCTTTCAACATCAGGCATTTTCAGCATTAAGGATTGTGGATCATAGGAAAGCCCTGGGAAAGATCTTATGTCACTAAGGTAGCTTACGACATCCACATCACCACTGACAGTGAAGTCTTCCTCTGATATAGTTGTTCTGGTTGT